CCCCTCTCACCATTTTTGTACGATCTAATGCAGTGTAAATAGACATCACGGGTAGATACAATGTTGGCTTTTGTGTCGGTCTTTAAGTGCTCTAATTTGGCATGTTTCAAACTCTATCCTAAAATTCTGTTGTTGCATTGGACTGAATTGTGAAAACAACGTGAGTTTGTTTTGATCCCGAATCCAATACCCTGAGACCAACTACGAGTTTGTTTTATTCTGAGTCCAATACGAGTTTGTTTTACCCTGAGACCACGTCGAGTTTGTTTTTCTCTGAGACCAACTACGAGTTTATTTTATCTTGGAACCACGATGAGTTTGTTTTATCTTGAGTCCAATACGAGTTTGTTTTATCTTGAGTCCAATACGAGTTTGTTTTACCCTGAGACCACTACGAGTTAATTTTATCCTGAGACCACGACGAGTTAGTTTTACCCTAAGACCACTACGAGTTTGTTTTATCTTGAGTCCAATACGAGTTTGTTTTACCCTGAGACCACGTCGAGTTTGTTTTTCTCTGAGACCAACTACGAGTTTGTTTTATTCTGAGACCCAATTACGAGTTAGTTTTATCCTGGGACCAGCTACGAGTTAGTTTTACCCTGAGACAACTACGAGTTTGTTTTATCTCTAATCCAGTACGAGTTTGTTTTACCCTGAGACCAACTACGAGTTAGTTTTATCCTTGGACCAACTACGAGTTAGTTTTACCCTGAGACCACTCAGTTTGTTTTACCTCGGTACCATCTACCTTATTTAGTGTATACCATTGCTCAAATAGACACACCTTTCTTTGAGACTAGCACGATTTTTTTTATTTTACCGTTGTCTCAGTACAGGATAATTTTACCCTGTGACCAGTGTATGATCTATTTTTACCCTGAGCTTAGAACGAGTTTTTTTATTACCCTGAGCTCCGAACGAGTTTGTTTTACCCTGAACTCTGAACAAGGTCATTCTCACTCTGTAACCACTACGAGTTCATTTTACCCTGAGTTCTGAACGAGTTTATTTTTACCTCGAGTTCATTTTTACCCTGAGCTCTGAACAAGTTCATTTTTACCACTACGAGTTCATTTTTACCCTGAGCTTTGAACGAGTTTATTTTTTATCCCGAGACAAGAACGAGCTCATGTTTTGTTCCCGAGACCAGAACTAGGTGTTTTTTTTTACCTACAGACCAGTACAAATTTGTTTTACCCTTGGCTCAGAGGGAGTTTTTTTACCCATAGCCCAATATGAGTTTGTTTTATACCTTGAACGCAATACGATTTTTATTTAACACTGATCACAAGTTTGATCGTAATGGGTTCATTGTTAAAGCAAACTCGTTCAGGGTAAGTGAACGAGTTTAATTTTACAATGAACCCATTACGATTTTGTCTCTCCTAAGCCCAACCCAGTACGGTTGATAATAGAAAAACCTCGTACATACAAATGTACATGTACAGGAAATGTGCAAAAATGTCCTCACACATCCGAGTATACACGAAGTCAGATTTATAAGTATACCGTGTAACGGCACAGAAATATCAGATTAAATATTTTGTTTGCATCAAATTATTATCTTTTATTGGTGCGTTTGCCAATTTTCACATGCAGCCCTTTTTATATTTAAAGTTAAAGATCTTATTTTCAAACCAAATTATTTTTATTCCTGAGCATGAAATCGATTCGTATGTGCTTAAGTAGTATTCATAGTGGAGGTAGATATTGTTTCAATAACCTAGACACATATCCTTTATCCGGATAAAGTTGTTCGAACTTTTCTATATCCCTGTCCAAATTACATGAAAAATATACGAAATAGGCACTGTTTTAGAGCTAACATACTTTTAGGTTATAAAACTTATAAGCGGAATTTCATTGATTTATTACGATATTTTACGAGCGAAATGTAATCATTCCCTACTCTTTTCAGACGCCCTCCTTTTAGAGCAAAGAATAAATCATTCACTTTTCACACACTACCGTGAAAATAGAAACCGGAAAATTAAGGGAGATCAAAACAGATTCCTTTAACGTGATACCCTTTGTTACGGAATGTTTACCAGTGGTTGAAACGGCATGTTTACTAGTTAGATTTAGTATAAATAAACGTTTAAAAGTCAATTATTGTATCTCTGGATTACAGGTATCTAGTGTATGTTATGTATACATTTAAATAGAGACAGCATTTCATTGTGGTCAGTCTATTGTAACACTGACCAGTTACGTAACGGACACTTAATTAGAGTTATGTACCAGTAACGGTGTCACAAACCTGTGCTTGTATTGGTCATTGACGGGTTACTAAAGAGACGGAACCGAGCTATTCCTTACCGTCGGTTTTGTCACAGTGACTTGCTAATTTGTTACAGCTATATTAAGACCTAAACTAAAGTGCTCAGAGTAATTTTACACATTTTATGGGTTCATATCAACTTTCGATTAAAAAGCTCATACATCTCATCATTGGGGTAGCATTTTAGCAAAAGTTGATTTTAACCCCTAAAACTTGTAAAATTACTCTGAACACCGTAGTTTAGGTCCAAATAAGGCTGTAACAATTATCAAGTCCTTATGTGCTGGAGAACCGAACTACTCGGTGGTGAAGCGGACGTAAAATCACTCAACAAACAAACAATATTGGGGTACTTGGTGTCAAAACGTCAGTACTTAGTGCCATGTTTTACTCATTCTCGATATCCAAGGGTTCGGCAGTAGATACACAATCATTGAGGGCGGGACCCACGTGGTTGACAGAGAGCTTTGGAAGATACTCATTTTTTTCTGTGACCAGGAAGTTTAGAAAGTTTGAATACGTATGTTAATCACGCGAACGCGTATTTGTTTACTTCAAGGTTGTTATGTATATTTGTTTATTATATGTGCGGCCAATCCATCATAAAACTTCGGCTGCAATGGTAAAACAAGACTGTCAATGGTAAAACAAGACTGCCAATGGTAAAACAAGACTGTCAATGGTAAAACAAGACTGTCAATGGTAAAACTAGACTGTCAATGGTAAAGCAAGACTGTCAATCGTAAAACAAGACTGTCATTGGTAAAACAAGACTGTCAATGGTAAAACAAGAATGTCAATTGTAAAACAAGACTTTCAATGGTAAAACAAGACTGTCAATGGTAAAGCAAGACTGTCAATCGTAAAACAAGACTGTCAATGGTAAAACAAGAATGTCAATTGTAAAACAAGACTGTCAATGGTAAAACAAGAATGTCAATGGTAAAACAAGACTGTCAATCGTAAAACAAGAGTGTCAATGGTAAAACAAGACTGTCAATGGTAAAACAAGACTGTCAATGGTAAAACAAGACTGTCAATCGTAAAACAAGACTGTCAATGGTAAAACAAGACTGTCAATGGTAAAACTAGACTGTCAATGGTAAAGCAAGACTGTCAATCGTAAAACAAGACTGTCATTGGTAAAACAAGACTGTCAATGGTAAAACAAGAATGTCAATTGTAAAACAAGAATGTCAATGGTAAAACAAGACTCAATGTTAGGTATGGAATTATACTGCAAAATCCTCAAAATATCGACTTCAATTATTTTCTCCCCTCAGGCAAAGAACGCTTGGATGACACTTTTCAACAAATTATGTTTTCGATATTTTTTCTTCGTTAAAGTGTAACCTGTATCGTTATCTTGTAGACTATGTATGCATACAAAGTTATTTATCGAAGCTAATTTTACTGAAAT